AGGACACGGCGGGGACTAGGGATCAAACACGACTCTAGTCTAGACACAGCTGCAATCCTCGCCTGCCTTAGAAGTTCGTACAGCACAGGCTGAGGAGAATTTAGCATATCGTTTCCCTAATATGATTAAAATGCAGCTCCCTGTCCTGGGGTACTGACAAATCCTCAAATCTATAGGCATCCAAAACCACGTTACCGTTTCCACTGCTGAAGAAGTAATTCACTTTGCAGATGTGGCAGCGGAGACAAGCGATGCCAACTAACGGGGGTTTCTTTAACTAAAGTTTGAACTCAGCCCTAGTAATTCAAATATCATTTTCACAAACCTTGCGAGATGCAGATGAATGAGAGATTCCTGGCTTTGAGTCAAATGCTGCAGTAATTAAATGTTTATAAAACACTTCAAGCATGTGAAGTGCTATTCTCATAGACAAGAAACCAATAGACTATGGCAGATTGGAGCTGGATTTTGAGGCACACCAGCAAACACAGCTCATTTCTCCTGCTACATCTCTCTAAAAGAGTTGCTAACAGAGGATTATGGAGAACATTACCAGGTTCCTTTTATTATAACCAGAATAAGTCAAACCAGAATTGCTTTCTTTCATATGAACATGTGTGACTCAAGAGTTTTTCTCTCTGTAATAAATATCCAAGTAGAGGGCCAGCTTGCTGTTTATCTCGTGAAGAAACTACCCTTAGGGAATCGAGAAATTGCTGCTACTTCTGATCTCTCCATAAAACTGAAGAGGTTCCACCTGTTACAGGTTTCTAACACCATCTGCTGTTTAAAAATAAGACAGCATTTGAGCTAAGCAGCACAGGAGAGTTTGTACTTGTTTGATAAACCAGAAGTGACACCAGCTAATCTAGAAGGTTTGTGTAATTGGCACATTTCACTTTTGTTCTTTCAAGCCCTGAACATATTTCAACTTGATCTTAATTATGAAGTGAATTATTTCTTCACTACAAGACCCAAAAACCCAATGAGCAGCAGCTGAAAGCCAGGTCCACACCACAAAACTTAAATCTTCATCCACAGTCACGGGACCCCATCTTTTTAGGTATTGAAGTAGATTTCGAAGCAATGTAATTCCACACCAAAGCCTGGCCCAAAGAACCTACTTAAAAACTTTTTCTTAGGAGAGAGCCATAGCCTCCACAGGGTATGAGGAACTCAAAGAAAATAATTATTTCTATTAAAAATATTTACCTTTTGCTGTGTCATACTGCTTCTTGTATGACAGAATAAATACTCTAACCAAGGATTCTTTTACTGCTTCCTAACTGAAAGTGATACAAACTTTTGTCCCACGAAAAACAACAGAGCCCTGGAGTTCATTACACATCTAAATTGAAGGACTCACCACCAATGCTGTTAGTTTTTGTTGCATGTGTTAAAAAGCAAGGAGGTATTCTTAATAACAACACTCTTTCTAAAAGAAAAAAAGAATTTTCTCCTAATGGGTCTCTAGAGAGCCCAGCCATTCACCCCGAGACAATGCAGTAGTTTTATTACTGCAGGTTTAGACAAAAATTACCCCAAATCTTAAAGTCTAATACCAAACAGAGGACACAGCTACACGATCCTTCTCTAGTCGTATCACGTCAGCCCATTTACAGCATCGTCCTCCATATTTAACATTTATAACCCCCTCCACATACATCATTTAAAGAGTCAGTGGCTCCTTTTGTAAGCGATCAGCTTCTTACCCCAGCACTTTACATGCACTTCTCGACAAAAGAGACCTTTTACATGTCAATTTATTTTCAGACAAGCATATCTGAAAGGGAGTTTCTCTCCAGAGTAGAATTAGTATTAATGGCAGGTGTTCCAGTGTAACACAAAAGGAGGAAGGCTGCAAGTTAGCTGAGCTTAAGTAGTAAGACAGCTTGATGTTTTAATAACCAGAGGCAAGAAAATGGAGTGGCAGCGGACCTCCAGCCTTCATAGCATGAATGAAGGTTTTATTCAGAGCCCCCTATGTACTTGCAAAAGAAGACCTTCAAATATTTTAAATGTTTTCATTGCATTAAAAGAGGGATTAAATTGTTGAATATTACATGAAAGCGCAGCATCCGCCCCACATACCGTCGAACACACTTGTGGTCAGTGAGTATTTCCGAAGCCTCCCACATGTTTGGGAAGGCGGCGGTGGCTGCCACAAGGAGCTGGTGGCACCCAGCTGCACAATTCCCTGTCCACAAATGGCAAAAGATGCATGAAAAAGAATTATGTGAACAAACTCGAAGGTGGGGATTTGAAGAGGGTTATTTGCATTAGTTGGATGGACAGTTAAAAAGCTGATTGGTTGCTTAGTGAAGTTTCACTAAGAAAAATAGATAATTGCTGAGAAAGTTACTGGCCTTCAGTTTTAAAGACAGCCTAAATAATCGTGATGGGAATATTTGTCAGGCTAAAATACATTTATTTATGCTTTGTTTAATTTGACAGGGGTCACATCATTAAGAGGAAGGCATGACTACTTCACACAGTGGGAAGAAGAAAAACAACCTCTTAGCTGGGTCAACCTCTTTTACAACAGAAAAGTTGCTGATTTATGCCCCAAAATAGTAAAGTTTAGCCTTTCTTATACAGAACCTGTATTACATAGAGCCGCTCAATATTATTTTCAGGCTTCTTGCCTATGGATTAACACACTATTTCTGCACAGGTTAATTCCAGGTAGACTCAGCTATTCGAGGCTGGATTCTGGGATTTCTGCTCCCTTGAGCTTTCATATAGACGCACAGGACAAAATCTTAAAGGTCAAGTCGGCCATGAAACACCTAAAATAACACAAGCAGTTTTCCCTGTAAAGATTTCCTTATGTATTAAAGTTAAATACATTTTTCAAATCAAGACAAAGATAAGCTGTATATCCTCTTTGTCCCAAGTTAAAGCTGAATGACCTCAACTCTGTGAGAGCAGATCATTCGGCCTTCTCTAAGACACTAGCTCCCCCCAACAGACGTTAGAGACCCAGCCTGCCATAGGCCCAACCTTCACCTCAAATCCTGCAATTTCAGTTGACAGCAGTTGGTCCCACCTGTATTTTGGCAAAGGTTTGATACTGTCAGGACAAAACCAGAAAGGGAACGAGGGGGCCCACTCGACCTGGTACAAACACCTACAGTTCTCATACGCAGAAAGATCAACAAGTCCATTTTTATTGAGCACTGGAATTAAAAAAGTAACAGCACTTGGTTGATTTGGAACTAAAAATCAAGACTTATTTTTACTTATGGAAGAATCACTCAAAACAACTTGGTTAAAAGCACCCCAGAAAGCAAGGTGTAGCCCTTCTTGTTCACTCTGTTCTCCAAAGTGATGGAGGTCCCAGAAGCTACAACTGCACCAAAGTAAGTTCCTCTGATTGAAGACCCCAGTGAGGCAGAGGGGTTTGACGCTCCGGGTATCGGGGTTTGATGCTCTGGGTATCATCTCACGGCCAGGCAGAGTCTGCAGCAACCATGGGCTGCTCTCCCTGTGCCCACAGAGCTCTACACCTGGTTGTGCTAGGCATCTTTGAGTTGTCACTAGTTGGCCTCACACCAGCACCATTACAGGGAGGGTCAAGCAAAGGTTGTAATGTTTTTCCTGACTGATATTTGAAAACATTTACAATTTCATATAAACAAGCCAGCTACCATCCAAGCAGGGCGAATGTTTGGTTCAAGACCCATCCTGACAGTCCATGTTGTTGGGAGGTTCACAGTGAGTGGTGATCACCACCACCATGTCCAACGCCATCCACCATTTCAGACCCCAGCCTTGAAATGCAGCATAGGAAATATTCTGAAAAACTGTCAAGGTGTCTGCTTCAATCCCAACAGTGCCCAGAGGAACTGACCGCAGCTCCAGAAAGAAGCTGTTTATAATTATTGTATTTGTTTCAGGTACCTAAAATTTGCACACCTTTTCACTGCCATGAGAGTTACTGCACGGTTGTAGGAAACACAAGGCAGGTTCACTGGCACCAATGCAAACATCTTGTCAGAGGAGAAAGCAAGTATTTTTAAGGAAGGCATTTTGCTTGGTGGAGTGTCCCCCTCCCCAGCTATGACTAAAACATTAAATCCAGCTCTGCTGGGCGTCAGTGGCAAGACCAGTGAGAAAATCCAGTGTGCACTGGCACTGGCTGCCTCTTCTCAGCAGCACTGGACATTAGGGCAGCACTTGGAATAAACATAGAAAGAAATTGTGACTATTGCAGCTTCTCACTGGCTGCTCCAGGGATTAAAACAGGACCTGCCTGGATGAGGGTAGAGGAGGACAGAGCTGTACATCTCGGAGAAAATTTTTTTATGGAATTCTCCATTTTAGAGTCAACTGGGACTAAGCAAAAGGGAAAAGCCAAAAAAGAAAGTTCCCCCCCTCAGTCACTGCGATCAGCCCAAAGTAGCAGAAATTCACACGAGAACCTTTCCTGGCTTTAGACACATCCTTGAGCATGTGAGCGTTTGCAGTCCCCATAGCTCTCCTGCTCCTCCCAAGAAACAGCCACCACCAAACCAGGGAGCTCCAGCAATTCCCTGCAAGTCAGAATGGGTCCGGAATTTATGTCTAGCACAGTTTGCCTCCAGGTGTTGGTTTCTATTAGCACTAAAATGTCCTGAGAGTAAGAAGTTCCCCTCCGCAGCCTGCATCCTGCCATCTTTCCTGTTGATTACTGCCTTATTCCATAACTGGTTCTAATTACTTCCCACTGCAAAGTGAGGTATTGCACCTGAGAGAAGGTGGCATAATATACAGCCCTACTACAGTACTGCTGGTTTTCCCATCACAGGGCCAGATGAAAAAGCTTTGCAGATCTCCCAAAAGGCAGGCAAGAAACATTATCCCTGTACGACGTGGGGAAATGACCGGGGTCACTTATTCTGCAGCTAAAAGTCAGTCAGTAAAATAACGTCAACTGAATGACACGTTTATTGTACAATTCAGAAAGAAACCCTGAGTTACCAACTGTAGAACAAAGTTAAATTAAAAAAAAAGGATGGTTTGTTTCATAGGTTCCTGCTGAAGGAAAGGAAAAACAAAAACGTTAAAAGCAGCAGCCAGAGCCAGCCCAAAGCCTCAGCTTTGCCGAGGAGAAGGTTCCTTTGTCATCCCCACCTGCGCGGGTGACAAACTCCCCCGGGAGTGATGGGGAGAATGTGAAGATGGGAGGGCAGAGGGGAGGAATGAGCCCAACCTAGCAGGTATTCTGGACAGCTGAGCATCTAAGGGGGTGTTTGCAAAACCCGTAGTTTATTTTGCTCGGAGAACTGCTGTCTGGGCTGGGGGAGCGCAGGATAGAGGAAGAAACGGAGTGTAAAAAATTGACCTTACACTGAACACAGATGCACAAAAAGTGAAGTGAAGGGGAGGGAAGTCCTTTACAAACATGAGTGCTGCTGGTTAGGAGTCTGCAAGGTTGACTTTGGGAAGGGCATCCAAAGGTTCAGGGGAGGAAGAACCCCAAAGCCTAAGCCTCAAACATTACGCAGCCTTCCAGCTGCAATGGCGTTGGAGAGGATCAATTCCAAGAAATGATGTAGCTACAACAAATACCTGGCCCTACACAGGAAAGGGTGAATCAGAGCTGCTTTTTAGTGCCACTTGACATCAGTTATACATTCTAGTTCTCATATACACAGATGGATGTCTTTAAAAATTGACAATTTACACTTCAAAAAAATTTTACAGTGAAGTTCTCTCAGCAAAGATCAGTCCATACAAGGAGGAGCCCATCTTTCAGAAACAGGAAGGCATTTGGCCTTTTGAGAACAAGTCCTCAAGGGAGCTCCTGTGCAGGCATTGACCGCCCAATCTCCTGCCCCCCGTTTTCGGTAGGTGTGCAAAGTCTGGTGTGCCTGCACCACACCGTGCGGCTGCGGACCATCCCAGCTTCACAGTGTGGTGGAAGGAAGTTTCTTCACCCGCCTCTGTGCCAGAATGGAGGATTCGATGGGCTTCAGCTGGGGGCTTGGCTTGGAGCTGTTCAGTGCCGAGTACGTGGCAGCCATGGCCCCCTTGGAGAGAAGGCACGAGAAGTCATTTAGATGTAGAAGAAGTACTTCAGACTCATGGCTTTACAAGCTGAGGCAGCAGAGTAGCCAGACCCACACACAAAGCTAGGAGCATCTTCCTTTTTTCTTTAAATCTCCCTCCCGTACTGACATGCTGTTAAAGAACCTCCCTAGGTTTTCCTGCCATTAAAACAGCTTGTCTTGTCTTGCCTCCCCTGGCCCACACCTCTCCAACTTTCCATCCTGCTTTGCCCACACCACCATCACCCCACCTGGACCGCTGCTTTCCAAAGAACCCAAAGTACCCGAGGAACCAGCTGAAGGCTCAGCCCAGACTTTGTACCTTTACAAGCTGAACGTCCTGGTGATTCAGCTGACTCTGGGGTAAGCTGTCCTTCTGGGTTATCCAGGGATGCTGCAGGACCTGCTTGGCTGTTAGACGCTGGTGAGGATCTACATGAAGCATCTTTGATACCAGATCCTAAGGGCATTGTTTGGAAAGTTAGACTTTAGAAGATTTCATACTTCAAATGCAAAAATACTACCTGTCTGCTCCAAATTAGGATTTAAATTCAGAGGCCAAGTTTAAAGTCCCCAGACATCAATCTCCTTTCGTACAAAATATGTTTTCGGTAGGCCTGGGAGGCGTAACACAGCAGCAAACCCAGAGTGGGTCAAGCACGAGGTTGGTGTTCCACGCAAATATTTGCAGCCAGAGATAAAACAAGGCGGGGAGAGGCACACTGCTGAGTGGGAGATAGGCATGGGGTAGAAGCTACACTGCTGGTTTTCTCCTCTCTCTTCTGCTCTTTCTCCACAGCCTCCTTTAAACTTGCCTCACAGCATCTGGCCATGCTTGACCTCAACCCTTTAATGTAACACAGATGAATATCAAATCATACCTTGGCCATGTCAGAAATAGTGTCCCAGTTGCCTCCACTGACAGAGAACTTGCCCCCGCCTATCCGGGTCAGGATCTCTTCTGGAGTGTCACTGGGACCATTTGCAAACGGAGTGCAGCTGAGGAGAGAAGAGAGACCATTTGATTTACTGTCCTGTGACCCAGCCAGGGAGCACCTCCAGGTAGCAGCGACCAACGAGGAGAGGTCCAACTGCCACTGCGGAGCATGTCCGAGAGCAAGGTGGTCACAGCCCCTGCTGTTGCCTTCCAGCAAGACCGAGGCGCTTACCCTGCGAGCATCGTATACAGGAGAACTCCCAGGCTCCAGATGTCACAGCCCTCGTCATAGCCTTGGCGTTTTAGTACCTGAACAGAGTAAGCAAAGGCAAAAGAATTGTGTTTGGTTCTTCTCATTGAGCTCACTTCAGCTCGTGAAGAGCGGCTTGACCTCTGTGTGCATACAAATCTGTATGCAAAGCTTCTAGAGCCCTACTGAACAGCAAAATCTTGGACTGAAGATAAGGATTCAAATCAGATTTTGGTGTCATGGAACAGAGGAACCCCTCAGGCACATCAAAACGACAAGCGAGACAGAAGCCATGTTCCGGTGCGGTGACACTGCACACATGCTCCATGGTGTGCTGGCTCTTTTTCTTTCTTCCTCACCGAGATAGCTGAGTGGAAAATCATCCCACTTCTTTTAATAGGTCAGTTAAGCAGCCTAGAAAATCACTGGGATTTTAAAGTCTCACTACCCTAAGCAGAGCCATCAGGGCAGTACAAGCTGGAGGACTGCACTGTAACCGCACTTGAGATCCCCTATTTGTTCATTACTACAAGTGGTATTTCTGTAATTACCTCTTCCAGGACAGAGTATGTCAGAGCAGGCTGGAGTTAAGAACAGGGCAGACCTACCTGTGCCGAGAGAGAGCACAGGCGAGGGGAGGGACGTGAAAGCTACCAAAAGGTCTCAGGTCAATAAGGTGCTTACCTCGGGTGCCACAAAGTTTGCTGTATAACAAGGAGTCATGAGAAGGCCATTCTCAGCCCTCAGCTGCTTGGCAAAGCCAAAGTCACAAATGCGAATGCTTTCGGGGTTTCCTGACTCATCCACATAGAGAATATTGCTGGGTTTCAAGTCCCTGTGAACCACCTGTGGAGCAAAGAAAGTGCCATTCTCAAACCCTTGGAAGACAAAGGTCTGAAGCTGCATCAGGACACTCAACCCCTGCTCTGGCCCCACATCTGGCTTGCCAAGACAGCAAGACCAGCAAGAAATAATAGTCCTGACAGGCAGAGTTACTCCCCGGAGGAGAGGGAGCGTAGTGCAATGCCAGACAGCTTCCCAGGAAAACAGACATAACCATACTCACCCCTTGGGAATGCAGATACTCCACCGTTTTACAGATCGTGTGCAGGACCGAACTGGCTTCCCTCTCCGAGAAAAATTTCTGTCTGAGGATTTTATCCAGCAGCTCCCCTCCCCTCATCAGCTCAGTCACCAGATACACATACTTCCCATCATCATATACCTACCAAAGCAAATATGGAGGAGTTAACCCAAAGCTGCTTCCAGAGCTTCCCCTTTGTACTTCTGCCGCCAAGAAGCAGACAGAAATCAGCAATGCAGAGGTGCCTCTGGGGATGCTTCCCCACCCCAGAGCGATACATTGAGCAGGGACATTAGGTTGCCCGTGCTGGAGCTGTGTTCTGCCCCCATAGACCAGTCTGCGCTTCCTAAACCAAAAAGGAGAAGTCATTCACGTCACACTCACATCTTTCAAGGTGATGATGTTTGGATGCTGCCCATATCGCAGGAGGATTTCTATTTCCTCAGAAGGGTCTCGCTTGCTCTTGTCAATAACCTGCAAGAGTACGGATAAGCATTAGCCACAACAGGGTGGGAAAGGGGCCAGGACAAAGCAAACAAGTTGAGTTTTTGGAGCCCTGTGGAGATCCTGGCACCATAGCTGTTCCCCTGTCCCTGCCCTCTTTAGCAATAAGCTCTAGAAATCCCCTAGTCGCTTCATCAGTTCTGTGTCACCAAACCCCGAAGTTTTATGTCTGGCTTATTTGTTAAGAGCTGATGTAGCTACAGCAAACTTTGCAAAGAAAGGTGAGATAGTATCCTCCCTCTGAGGGAGGAGAACACTGCTTCCCCACTATTCCTAGGTAAGAAAGCTTGTGCAGTTACATGCACAGCAGCACAGAAATTGTCCGTTTAGGCCTTACACAAGCAGGGAAAGCAATTTCATTCCTGGATGTTATTGTGGTCATCATGGGGACAAACAGAAATCTAACAGGGGAGTTCAGTTCAGATGGTAAATCTCAGACCTTGACTGCGTATTCCATGTTGGTTGCTTTATGAATGCAGCGTTTACACACTGAGTAGGAGCCGACTCCGATTGCCTCCTTCACCACGTAGCCATCGTTGAACTGGACATTCTTGCCGTGCAGCTGCTGCAAGAGGAGAGCAGAGAGTTGATGAGCTGGTAGAGTTCAGGGAAGGGTTTGTGCAACATGCTGAGTTAACTGCAACACAGAGTGAGCTGACAGACTGCTGTCTGCTACATCCCACAGCTTCTCCTCCTGGCTGGGGAGAGGGAGGAGAAGAGAACAAGGCAGATATAGGTCAGTAGGCTAACACTATCTGCATCTAGCACGGCGCATTTCGGTGGAACCTTTCAACCGACCTCCCGCTAGCACGGGTCCACCTGGAGAGAGGAAAGCAAACAGGCTCGCATTGCCCTGATGGCCTTTGCACATGACAGTCGATAGAAATGAAAGAACAACAGGATGCAAGAATTCAAAACAGAACGACACTGCCTCAGGCTTCCTGTTAGCTCTGCTCCAGATGGTACAGAGGTCCCGCAGACCCACTCTGGAGTATTACTGCAGCTTCTAACAGTTGTTCCTCTGTCCCCACTTCTTACCTGTACCACTGAATGTAGAGGCGACTGGGCAGGTTTCACCTTGCCATCCTCCATCAATCCGGTTGCCACAAAACTGAAACCTCGGAAGAGCTGATGGGCCCCTGCACTAGGGGGGATGCCTGGGGAATCTGCAACAGGAGTCGAGAAACAACTTGAAGAGGGCTAGCCCTGCAGAAGCAGAAGCCTTCCCCTTGCTCCCCAGGAGCTACGGCTCTTCTTTAGGTTATTCGAGACTAGAGCCGCACCACGCAGCACCGAGCTTATCCCTAACACCCCACATACCTATGGCTGGGTCACCTCCTCAGTGCTGCAACCAGCCGGAGCTGGCAGCACCAGCAAGAGGCGAACCTTGCCCTGCTGGCACCGGCAAACCAGTATTAAGTCATACAGTATCATTTCACACAGGAAACTTTGGCTTTGCATGAATTCATACAAACCTTTCGGTGTACGTGATGTAAATTCTGTGTCAAAATAAAAGGTGTCATCTGGCTGGCCTACTGCAGGCTTGAAGGGCGGTTTGATTTCCCTGCGGTACAGCTTCTGCAAAACAAAGACAGCTCAAAAGTGCTCCGACAGGTCAACGCTCTCGTACACGCTCAGAAGGATGCAAAGGCTTGCTAGGAACAAGAGGCCAAGAAGAGATTTTGCAAAACTACAAACAGCTCTGTGGCTTAGCATTTAATTGCAGCTCAGCAGTCTGAGGGAAGAATTCTTGGCCAGTGGGGTGCTTTTGAGTTAGTTTGTGGAGAAATACTACAAGTTCTACAATATATTACATCATGGGGGAAAAAGTGTTCTACATGCAACTTGGCCCCAGTCCAAAAGCAGTATCTATGAAGTATTTACCTCACCAGGCTCTTCCACCTCCTCCTAACTCCCATTAGGGCTTTGCTGACACATACCTCCCCAGGGACAGCCAGAGGAGATGCCCTAGGAGGGCACTTATATCCCAGCACTCCCACAAGTAGCCTTTTTAAATTGCTTCTTGAAGCAAAAATTTGAAATAAGCTTTATTAGCATTGGTGGAGGTTCAGTCTAGCAGCTTGCTGCGTGCCTCAAAAGCATTAAAAGATTGATCTTCAAAATCCCTTACCAAGTAAGGGAAAATGGGGAAGAAACAAAATTACGTGGTAAAGTAGGGAGTTGGCCAGAAGCAATTGGGAAATGCTGGTTCTGTTATCGCCCTGCTTCTCTGCACAAAACAAGGTATTCCCTTGCCAGAAATGTTTCCGTGATTCCTTCCCACTTTGTGCAAGACAATCCTTGTTGTGCCAAACCCCAATTAAAACCTGCACTTTACTGTTGAGAGATGGGTAAATTCAAACTAAGGTGAGATCATAGGCAACTCAGGTATGAACAGTTATTCACATGACAAACAGAATTTTAGTTTCGGGAAGGATTATTGGAAGAGATGGAAACAGGGGCTGGTAGCTCTCCCATAGCTGATGCGGGCATCATGATTGTGCTATTACTGCAGTCAGCAGAACTGCGTTACTGGTGCCGAGTGGTGTAAAAGTTTGCTCTTATGTTTCTGATACTCACATTCCAGTCAATGGTAGAATAGAAAGGATGGCGCTTGATCTCTTCCGCCCCATCTGGTCCAGAACCTGAAAGATGCACCCGTGAATCGTGTTGCATTAAATCAGGACCACCAAGTACGCACCACAGCCAGGTATTACGGGAAACCTGGCTGTAATGAAACGAGACCATTAACCGAGCACAAGTGCGAACATGCTGCTGACCCACGAGGATGTGAGAGGCCCCGACAGAGCATCAGGTGTACCCAGAAACCAAAAAAATGTCTTACCTAATCGGTTGGCTGGATTCCTTTTGAAAAGGGCTCGCAGGAGGCTCTGTGCTTCAGAGCTCAGGAACTGTGGCATGCCCAGCTTTGCTCTGGAGAGGAAGTTATGCAACCAGTTGCAGGTTTAAAGAAGTCAACCCACAAGCCGACTGCAGCACCTCCACCCGCGAAAGTACAATCATCTGTTTGGCATTCACACTGCACCCTTCAAACTAACTGTTGATACAAACCCACTTGCCAAATAATGCCATTAAGTTGCGAGAACCCCCAAATTGCAACACGCTTAGAGAAAGAGCAGAAGCTCGCCTCCTATACATACAGGAGAGACAAACTCCTCTTACTTGAGGATGAGGGTCATGGTCTCCTTACGATCCTTTCCCTGGAAGGGTAGCGAGCCGGTGAGCATTTCAAACTGGGAGGGAAAGAGAAGAAGGGGAGGTCACGTCTGAGGAAGCCTGAGGGTTGCACAGATCCCACCGCACCTTCATCTGGGAGGTCGCCAAAGCTAGCGAAAAGCTTGCAAGGGATCAAAAGCCTAGCTCTAAAAACGATCGCAGGCATCGTATTTTCTCCAAAGGAGCTTGGTTCCCAAGGTTTGCCGCGGCAACACGTTCAACCCAGCGCCTTCTCCTGTGGGAACCCTCAGATTCAGCAACTGCCAGACGGTGGCACCAGATCTGCACAGACACCGACATCCCAGCGCCGGGGTGGACACGGACACCCCCACGCACCCCATGCTGCACACCCCAGCGCTCACTGGGACAACAGTCTCAGGAACTCTGCCTCCCCCGAGAAACACGCGATCCTGGCTGGATGCCTGGACTACAGAGCCCTTTCAGGGAGCTTGGAGAACATCCCCAGGTCAGCACATCTGCTAGACGTGCAGAATCATGTAATGGTGTGTCAGAGCTACTGCTGGAGCAGCTGCCGAGCCAGGTCCCCAAACCCTCTAGCTGGGTACATACCATTAACACCCCACTCCAGCTGGGTACATACCATTAAGACCCCGTAGGACCACCAGTCAGCACTGTGCGAGTGGCCTTGGCGATTCACAACTTCTGGTGCCATATATTCCACTGTTCCACAGAAGGAATAGGCTTTCTTCTCATGGTCTATAGCCTCCTTACTCAAGCCAAAATCTACATAAGAGAAAAACTGTCAGCGTGCACCCATGTGCTCTGAGCAATCACACAGAGCAGAGAGGCCTAAGAGAAGCTCCGTATTTCAAGAACCAACCTTGCTGGAGCACAAGGCTTTTGTGGAGTCCCTTACCTGTGAGTTTGATGTGCCCTTCTTCATCCAAGAGGATGCTACAGCATGAATGAAAAAAAAAAAGTTGTTACTGTCTGCAATAAGGGCTGGTGAGAACAAACACACAGAGCAGAGGCTGGTCTGAGACACTCCCAGAATCCAGAGGAGGTTATCTGTGCCTTCCCCCAGTGCTTTAAGCTCCATCACCAAGACACGAGCGGGACCAAGAGCAGCTCCCTTCTCTCTACGCCCTCAAGTTCATGTTGAGCGAATGACCCACGCAGGTTACAGCACCTTTGATCCCCCACATAGCCCAGGTAAAGGACAACCAAGTCATGCAGCTGGTATGTGTCTCTGCAGAGACCCAGCCTGGTGCCTTTTCCCTCCGAAGGCTCTCAATTGCTTAAAGCTGGAGCCCAGAGACTGCCAAGGATTACTGCTCAGACATGTGCTGCACACATGCTGCCTCCGCAGCGCTCCTGGCCGTAACTGCTGATCTGAGGAGCAGGAGCCTTGTCGATTGGCACTGCCACCTTCCATCTGGCTGGCCTCGGAGCATCATTCAGCTTTGCCTTCGTGGAAGAAGGCTGCGCCGTTTGCTGCCTACAGGCTTGGGACTGAACTGAAGGACTCGGTTCCCTGCCTCAGCTGTGCTGCACGTACTTCTCTGGTTTGAGATCCCTGTATATGATTCCCAGGCTGTGCAAATGGTCGAGCCCCAGAGCCAGCTCTGCTAGGTAGAACTTCACGTCCTCCTCGGTGAACATGACCTGCAGGAAGGAGAGGAAGCGGACAGGTGCTGGGGTTACAACGCTGGCAGCGGGACAACCTCCGCTGCACCCATGCGAGACCTTTCACAGCCATGTTGCTCCTTCCTGCCCTTTCATACCCAAGTTTCCCAGGCTTCAGCCGCCATCCTAAAGTATCAATTAAACAGCAACACCAAAAAAACAAACAGGGTTACTAAGCAGCAGACAGGTTTTTAAAAAACTCTTTGCTTAGGTTAACCAGGTTATGTTCCCAGTTGTCTTCGCTTGGCACAACTTCTCGCTACCCCTCCCATTCCCTGCCCTTGCCCCATCCCAGCAAGGCAACACAACCAGCCAACGCTGCAGCAGAACATGGTTCTCGCCTGTTTTAAGCTTAAGTTTTGCTCAGAAGCTGCTGCGGAGGTGAGACCTGCCTCCTATGCTGCTGCTTTTCTGCCAGAGGACAGGGCTCCTGAGTCATCCTCTCCTGTTGCCAGCTCTGGGCTAGCAGCAGCTTGGAGGTTGTTTTCACCCGCTCAAAGACTTTGCAAGGGTCAATCGCTTCCCCAGGCAATTAAGCGCAGATGAACTGAGAGCCGCAGCAACCACCAAGATGCCAGAGCATACCCACCTCTTTGGAAAGCCGAGTGAAAAGGTCACCTCCTCTGAGGAAATCCAAGATGAGATACAGCTTCCCCTCTGTCTGGAATGCTGAAACACAAGCCGGAGCAGGAATCAGACCCCTCCGCTGAGGGAAGACTCCATGGTATTACATTAATCACTTAAATCCCAATGGCTCCAGTTGTGCAGATGCCCTGCATGGTTACTAGGTTAAACACAGGTAGGGCTAATTATTTGGGGTAAATGAGATAGCCTGTCCGTGATGTTGAAATGGGAGCTCACCAGCAGCACTCTAGCACTGCAGAAAATCCTCATTTTTGGGGGGGTTGGTTCCCTTTCAGCCAGCGATGCCCTTCTGAAAGGGCTGTTTTCCCGAGAGAGGCACTGGTCGCTTTACAGGGAAAGAAGCTGTCCTCACCTTCCTCAGAGTCAGAGCATTAATCCTGCAAAACTCTGGCTTGACTAGTTAACTCCGCTTTCTCAGTTTCTCCTGATTTAATGTTTTAATTGCAAGGATTTGATGTTTAAACCTTTCCTTCTGGTCTATGCTCTGTTCCCCATTCAGTAGCTAGAGCAGGCATGGGACCAAAGACCTTTCCAAGAAAGGATTTGTGTTAAGGGGATTGTGAAGGCTTCAGAGCAGCACAGCTGTTGAGGGACAGAGACTGATCCAGACCTCTTCTCCATTTCAGGTATCTCCAGAAGCCTGTTAGGGACCACGAGAGGCTCTCAGCATCCTCCAAGCAGCCTGCTGCTGGATGCCTCATACTCATCTACCTGCTCATGGCAGGCATGCCTGTAGTAGCGTCTTTATTGTGCTTAGAAGCACTCAGCGTCTGTCTGAGCCTGCAGCCCTTCTCCCAGTGTCCCAGCTAGCTCCACACTCACCGTAGTGGAGTTTCACCACAAAGGGATGGTTCACATCAGCCAGGATGTCCCTTTCTATCTTTGTCCTTACTCGATCACGCACTGTGGAAAAAGAGAGGAACAGCTCAGACACTGAAGCAGGGACACAGTACCCTGGTGTCAGTCTTGTCCCCAGCCTTAAACCCTTTAGTACCAGGCAGCTTGAGCCAGAGCTTTTCTCACCTCCATCACTGCGACAAGAGGCTTTTAGAGATGGAGAGAAAAGGAGGCTGTTTGGTTGAGATAAAGATACTTCTCTTTCATCCAGACCACCCTGTGGCCAGCAGTGACTGCTGACACATTTCCCCGGTGCTCTTTGAGACACAGAGGATAGGAGCATCGCTCTAAGAGTCTCGTACCTTTCAATGTCGCCTTCTTGAGCACCTTCATGGCATAGAGGTGGTTGCTGTCTGGCGGTGTTATTTTTCTCACCAAGAAAACCTGAGGCAGAAGAACACCACATTTGCCAAGCACTAAACATTAGCAGTACGAGTTGGATGCCTCCCAAAGTGGCAAACCTCACAGTAACCCTAAGAAGCAGCTGGCTGCAGGACTGGTAAGATGTACCTCAAGCTCTCTATGTGAAACCCCATGAGGTTTTCAGGGAAGTGCTGTGTGCAGACTCCTCTCACCCCCTACCTCCAGCCATTACAGCACTTGTGCTTTTATACCGCACTTTCCTCCTCTCCAGTCTTCCACACCTCTTGCTCACTCTTGCAGTTCTTGTGGGGCTGTGGCTGATGCCTGGGAGCTGTGACTTGAAGCACTGATGCTGCAATGTACCACAAAGCCTCCTGGTGACTTGCTGGTTTGACAGCCAGATCAACTCCTTATTATCCAGGTCCTGCATCCTCTTTGGATTTTTACCTCCTTCCCTTCCCTGATGTCCCATTCTACCTGTTTTTAGGCAGCTTCAAAAAGACACCACCTTTCTTTTGCATAAAGCCACTGCTGCATTTGCCCTGGCAACAGCACACGGTTGTGTACAAACCCCCACTGTTAGCGCTGGTAACTGATTGACATGAAGTTGATTTAATGTGTGAGCAGATGGTCTGTAAGAGACCTGGATTATTTACACATTGAAAGAGATAAGAGTTACAGGCTACTTCCTTCCCCCTTCACAGAAGTGAAACTGGACCGTAAACAGGGGCCAAAACCAGTCCCTGGCACACAGCACTATTTCTGAGAAGAGAGGAACATGCCCAAGTCCTCCAAGTCCTCAATTCAACTGACAGCTTGGCAGCCAGCTAGAGAGCTGCAGGAGGTCCTTCTGCCCTGCGCGACACCTGCATTCATGAGCAGGATACTACTCCTTTCCTCCTGATATCTGAAAAAAGAATTACAGGGGAGCTTTGGACATAGAGGCTGGCCCTTGTGAGATGGCATTGCTACAGCTGCCTTTCAAGTTAGGAGCAACCACTTGCTAAGTGGGCTCTTCACTCAGATTCTCACAATCTGGTGGGAATCGGGCAAGTGCTTTTCGTTAGGGACACAGTCCCTTTTGTCATCAAAATCATTTATCTGGCGTGACACATAGGAAGAAAGTGAACTCACCTTGCCAAAAGAGCCCTGTCCCAGCACCTTCAGAAGCTCAAACTGCGAAGGATCGGCTTTCTCGGAGCCTTCCTTCACATGGTGCGTGATGTTGATTTCTTTCACGACACCTTCGCCCTGAAAAAGAGGGGACACGGTTGAACAAGGGAAAGCAAGCCTTATTGGATTAAGGAACAAGGATTGCAGCTACAGATTCACAGGAACCACATCTGAGAGAACCATAAAAGTTGGTGCTTCTCACAGGTATCTCCTGGCTTCAACATCTGGAATAAATAAGTCATCGGTAGGCTTGCACCAGGCAGCCTTGTTAAATATCCTGCACTCTCCCCAAAGGCTCCGCTCCTCACACCACAGGTGTTGCATTTCTTTGAACTGCATTTCAGAAGAGTGCTTGAAAAGCACCTTCCTTTTTAAGGCACTGGTAGCAAAAACAGGAGTGTTTATGCCACTAAAAATCCCACAACACAAAAATACGGCACTGTTGTCAAAACACGGCCAGGGCTGGCAAAAATCAGACATGTTGGAGCCCATCTGCTCAGCAATCTGAGCAACTCTGCAACATAAGTCTTAGTGCATCTTCAGCACATACAGATGATGCTTTAACAGACTCAAGCCTTCAAGAAGATTGAGGGGAAGCCAAGGTCTCTGGCACATGTTTTGTTTAAAACACATTCTTTTATTTAAAAAAAATAAAGAAGAAAAAGAGATTTAATCAGCAGTATCTAGAATAAACTCACCAGTGAAGCTAGGCCAGCACACAAGAACAGCCACAGACCCTGAGGTGATGCTGAAATCCCTCCTTTCCCCAGCAAACCTCGTCCGTACCTCTGGTGCATAGAGCTCAGAGTTCAGCTCAACAGAAACACCTTGTGCTGCTTTCTATTTGCATGCCAGACTTTTTGCACTACTAGTCTTCCAGCTGTGCCTTTCCCTCTACTTCTCTTGATCATACCTAGCCAGTATATCTGTACTTAGGTTTCCTCTGAGCTTGACCTGTTCCAGCCCCTCTCCCGACCGACCACGGGGAGAACCCACAGGGCAGGCTGGACTCAACTTCCCACTTCTACAGACGTGAATCTTACTCAGGACAGAAATCTCTTGTAGCTGTACATCTTGTAAGGGCAAGTCCAGGCTTCTTAGCACTTCAGTCCCACATTAACCAGCATTAGATACGGTCTGGTTGCTATTTGGACCTGAAGGCCAGCAATTACGTTCCAAAGGGCATTAAACATGGTTGCTCTCTGACCCTAGGGCAGATGCGGCCATCGGAGGCTGCTAGAAAGCTGGAACTACTATTTAGTTTTTCCCCTTGCAGAGTTGGGGGGAAAAAAAGTGATGCTTTGTTTTCTGAAACTATTCAGATACTTGGTCTGGAACCCACGGCCTAATCAAAGCAGCTTCTAAAAACAACAGGAACCAAGTTTCTCTTGGTTCTGCCTCTCCTCTGCACCCCAGCCCACTCCCCACCCTCCCAGCACCTTCTCGGGGAGGGTGGCCTTGCCAAGCGCCCGCGGATGTGGTTGCCTACCTGCACCGAGCACCCTTCCCTTCCCGCTCTCACGCTTGGCTTTTCTCTAGATTAGGAAGTGGCTTTGTTCCCATGTTGATAGCTTTGCTCTCTCAAGATCCTGCATTATTCAGACACCAAGACCTAGCAAAGAAGCCCGTGCTCTCAGCGGTGCAGCATGGGGAGAGGGCAGGGGGACAGGAGCTCCTCCCGTATTATCCTGCCTTTTGCTGGTCTCAGTGATCACAGAGAAGAAAGATCTTATAATCCCTGTAACAACAAGTTTTCATGTTCCATATGCTCTCCCGGCTTAAACCAGCCACCTTACACTTCTGGTTTTTCGTTTGGAGGCTCAGTCCACAGCAGACAGCTGTTGGTTAGGAACAGCTTCCCACTTCTAGCCAAGAGCGTGATGGGCAGTCAGCCAAGAGGTCTCCTCCTGCTAGTCCTTCCCTGTTGTTCAGCTCTCCAGGGAGTGACCCCACAGCAGGCAGAGACCCAGGGATGGGACCAGTGGAAGTTGTAGGCTCTTTCCGCTCCCCCCATCTTCATGAAAACACTAGAGAGAAACCAGGACTACACAGCATCAGCGCTTGTACAACCATGCATGTTTCACCCTGTAGCATCACACACCTATGCAGAGAGGAACATTTAAAATGAACTCTCGTATCCACCTCCAAGGCATCCGGACCCATTCTCCCGCCACAGCTCTTCAGGAGCTGCGGAGCGATGTATTTCCACAGCTGTGGGAATTCTTTGCCTTGGCCAATAGCAAGACCCAGGGTGTTTAACTACAAGCGGTTTCAGCAGCCCAAGCTGTATCTGAAGGCAGGCAAAGATTTGCATACGTAGCCTGCCAGCCAGACCACATCAGCAAACACACATACATATATACATACCAACAAGACCAAAAGTGGCATCAGCAGAGACATTGTTGATAGGTTTCTGAGAAAAGCTTTGAGATGCCATTTGGCATCTTGCTGACACAAGGGAGGTTTTCTCCCGTGGACTCATCCAGTAACTTGCAATTCAACAGTTAGGACTCTGGGGACCAGCTCCTACAGCCTGTTTAGCAGCACCAGAACAAGTCTCTAGCACAAAAGCACTCGCGTGCCACCGAGCACAAACAGGCTCTGCTTGCACCGAGATAAGTTTCTTCCAATGGCACCGTGAAGCAAACTATCCCAGAAGGCAGAAAAAGAAAAGCAAACCAGACTGCTCCGAATATCCATCTGAAGCAGCAGCCCACCTGGATGAGCCACCAGCAACACCAAGTGAAGCAAAGCGAGCTAGCGGCAGTACTGACCGGGCTGGAGAGCTGGCTGGGGGCAGGCAGCTGCAGGCTGCAGGGCTTGGCTCGATGTTTCCTCTGCAGCCAGAGCGTGAGGAACGCGCAGATGCGAGGAAGTTTAGGGTCCCTCTCCATTCTCCCATCCCGATATCAACATCGCACAGCCCCGGTAACCGTCACCCCCGCGAGATCCCGGGGAAGCACGGTCGGCTCCCGAGGATCGGGGAGGCTCCCGCGGAGCTGCATGGACGCCCCACGCTTGAGGTTGCCGGATAGAGGAGATACAGGTGGTTAAAGCCCAGCTGGCAGATGCGCAGTGGAGACAAGCGACTCGGTTGCAGAGGCACATTCATGCTCCCACTCCCCAGCAACAGCGCTTGTGGTTGGGGCTTTTTGGTTGGGTTGTTTTTTTTTTTTTTTTGGTTTTGGTTTAAAAAAAATAAAAATCTCACAGCTCCTTGTTCACATTTGGGTTCCCTGGTTCAGACAAGATGCTGACAGAAAACATACATGGTCTAGTTAAAGTGACTTCCATCTAGTGCTGCATGAATCTCATGTCAGGCTGTGAGCTTTGGGGGTATTTCCACAACGGGGGAATATTCCGAGAAGCCACTTACTCTTTAAAAAGGAAGAGAAAAACTCATGAAACCTCACACAGAAGTCTGACACCACCTCGGAAAGCTGCACATCTCTTTGCTCTCACACTGGCACAGGGATGATAAGTCACCCATGATGGGATTCGGGGTGCATCGATCCCATGGGCAAATCCTCTAGCATCACTAGGATTTGCACCTAGTCCATCGTTTGCTTTATGCTGCATGGGAGTACTTGCTGTGGACGCTGGAGTTATCTAACAGCCACCCTGGGAAGTTCCATGCGAGGTATTTTTTAAGGGCACTCCTGATGCAGACAGCTTCTGAACCCACTGCTGCTCGGATTTACTGGCAGAACAGAGGAGAGGTATTTAGATTGCTTGTTTTGCCTCCTTTCCCCTCCAAGCCTGTTCCCCTTTGACCTTTCCATTGGGTCAGGACAGACAGATGTTTTCTGCAGCAAGACCCCAGAGAGCGCAGGTAAGAAAGAAACCCCTTGAAATGAGTAAAAAGACACCCACGCACCTTCGCAATTAGAAATAACCCCGTGTCAGCGTTGATTTCTGAATTTCTCCAGAGAGCGCAGAGTATGAAAAGAGGTTCTTGGTTTGGACCCAGAGAAACTACTTATGACTGTCTTGCCTCCTCCGCCCCCATAATGTGCTCTTTAAGAACCGATAATGAAAGAAACAAATGACTTAATACCAGCAAGGCAGCTGGTCCCAGCTCCACGGAGGGAACCTCAATAGCTGATGAGGTCCAAAGCAAGGGAGCAGGTGCCAGCGAGCAGCACGAAACAGCACCGTGCAGCTGCTGAGCACAAGTCTCCAGGAGACTCGGTTCATACTGACACCTCCTTCACTCTGCCACAGTCCCAGTGAAGCAGAAACCGTGTCCACAACGTGCCCTCCGAAGGTGAGCATCACCGCTTCTAAGGAAGCTTTATGTTGCTCAGTGAAGCTGTGCAGGAGACGCAGCCAGCCAGCTCTCCTTGCGTGTGGGCCTGGCAAGATCTGATAAATCTCATCCCGATAGAGACAATTTTGCATGTTGCGTTATCAGGCACGCAGCACGGGGAGAGGAGCCTCAGAAAAGCAATCAAAAAAACCCCACTGTACGTCCCTGCCACTAAAACGCTGGAGCGCCCGCCCCAGCAAGCTGACAAGATCAGAAAGCCACAGGAGACATAAATGACAGCACGGAAAGGGGTTTGGTGTGGGGAGGAAGGAGGAGGAGGATGAAATCAAGTCCAGGATGTCACGTGAGCAAGTGAGTAATAGCTGTTTTCTGTATTAGCAGTCCCACCTAGCTGAGACGGGCTGGTAGGGGCTTGCTGCCAGAAAAGGTTTGGTTTTCAGAGAGGTCCTTGCGAGCTCTGCTTACGCCCTCGCATACGTGGGACGACCCGTCATGGGACAAAGTGCAAATTAAATGCATGAGTCTCCTCGAGGTGCACATCTGCAGCAGGCTCTCTTACCTTGTCTGCCGAGTCCACAAGGTCTTTCTCTATCCAAGTGATGTCTGATTTTGCCTGTGGGACAACAAATGAGTGTCAGCACAGAGGGGCTGTGATACTCTGCTAGAGTTTTCCCAACGAACTTGTTTAGCAAGACCAGGCGAGCTGTTTCCAGTCACTGGTGGTGTCCCACCAGACATCGCTCCTCGGGATGCGATGCTGAGCTCTGATGGTGGCTCCGGGAGAGCAGTCGGAGCCAGCTGCTGTTAAAGGCTTTGATAAACTCTGACGGGCGGTGGAGAAGGACACGGTGCCGGCGCTTGGTTACACGCATTTCCCAAGAATCAGAGTGCCACCGCCAAGGAGAGAGAATTAATTTCTGGCAGGTTAAGGTCTAGATCAGATTTTACTCTCAGCTACACGTGGACAAGCTCCAAAAGCATCTGTCCTGGTAGCGGTGTCCTGGGTCTGCAGGGAAGTTTGGCACCCCCGTGGCAAAGAGAGGGCTCCTCTCCAGGGGCACGCTCAGCGTTTCTAAAGCAAACAGGAGGAACATATTCAAATACCAAAACTCACCACATCCCTCAAGGGCAGGGCAGGGCCAGCCCAGCTGCTCTGACAGGTCCCTGAGCAGCATTAGAAATGTCAATTTATGCTGCCTCTGGGGCCAGATGCAATTCTGTGAACCCTTACAGAGAGAGATGCAGAAGCATTTAAGGGGAGCTCAGAAAACAACTGCTCCTGAGCTAGGATATGGCTCCTTCTCCCCCCAAAACTCAGACTTAAGGGAAGAAGTAAGTTTTTGCAAGGTCAATACCCAAGCCTGCTGTATTTTAATGAACATACATAGATTTGCTATCACATCTAGGCACTCTTTCACCTGTTTTTTAGATAATGAGCTAAGTTTGAATAGAAAAATCACCCCCCGAAAAATCAAAACGGATTTGAAACGTTTCCTCCAAGAGGTTCAAGTCTTTGGCTGCAGATGAGGTAAAACTCATGTGACTGCAGACAGAAGGGATGTAAGAGAGACTCGAGCTGTGACTTCTCTTATGTCTTTTCAAGCAGTTTGTCAGCACAACGGAGCCCGTGGCGCTGGCAGGGCTCTTCGGCGCCAGCAACGTCAACCGGGTGGGCACAGCGCGAGGCAGAGCGACCTGAGACAGGGGCTATGGAGAGGCAAGAGAAGAAAAAGCAAGCCTCGAGGGAAGGGAGGAGCTGCGTGAAAACAGCGAGATTAGAGTTAAGAATTAACTGATTTTCAGCTCTGGAAGGACTGGATCAGATGGGAGGGGGTCCTTGCAGTCACCTCTTTCCCTTCCTCCCCTCCATCGCTCTGCCCTTGCTGTGGGAGCAGCCGGGATCTCTTTGGGTCTGGGAGAAGGTGGTTGTCCCGCTGCTGCCGTGGGAAGCGGATGCCCGGGGCAGCCAGCTGACACATCTACCAAAGCCACAACTAAACCCCTTCCTGAACTCCCCAAAGCGATCACAAAAACCTCAGTGATCCCCCCCGGGGATCACACCCACCCACAGGGAAACCAGCTCCTTCACGGCTCCAACTGGCGAGCAGGCACCAAACCCTGCCTTGGATGGGGATGGATTGATTTCTCTCCCACAAGCACGGATCTCTCTGCAGGTCCACCCTACCAGCACAAGACACTGCTCCTGCAAGCTACCAGCCATCTTCTGACACCTGCAGCCTCGGGGGAGGCCATTTTACACAGATTCCTGCACCACTGAGAAATGGTATTTGCTGTTCCTGAAAAATAAAAAGGAAACCCCGGCCACTGGGCAGATCTGAGCCCAGGAGGTCACTCAAGTCAGAGGAGGAGACAACTTCTTCTGAACTTCCCAAAGCCGTCTTTGAACCGCACAGATGGCTTAGTCACCCTAGATCAGGGCTGGGAACATACATATGGGGTGGTTTTTTTTGCAGCACCAAGTTCAAAATACAAGTCCTCTTTCCTACTTTCCCCTTTCTTGAGGAATGATTTTACAAGCCAGAAGCCAAGAGACAGGTTTGTTTTTGCTCGCATTTTGTCACTTTGCTGGTTGAGACAGCCACATCTAAATGCAAGGAAGAAAAAAAAAAAAACCTGCAAGAGCTAGAAACAGATTACGCTTTTGGCATTTCGCTTCCTATTCATCAACAACTAACCAGAAGCTGTTTTAATTTCTGTTGCTTCAACACATGCTCTGGTCCCAAAACACTCCCAAATTTCTGGCAGCACCTAGGAAAGACACTCCTTAGAAAGCAGTTTTACCATCAGAAATGCCTTTTCCAAAAGAGAAGTCGTTAGTTAATACTGGATAAGGTCTGGCTCTATGAGGTCAGGCGATTCACCAACTTCTTGCGTCCTGCAGAAGAGACAGAGCACAGCACTGTATGCAGAGCAGATATTTTATCAGCTAGACACTTGCCTCCTGGATCCTTGGCTTGCTGCGAAAGAGGAGCCTCAGCATCTCCAAAGCTTTAGGCTGCTATTCTCCCATACTTTGCAAGCTGGCTTCTGAACTTAGAGCACTCTGCAGCACCCAGACCAGCACGAGAACCCTGAGTGTAGTAGTTATGTCACTGGGATGTATTTTGGGAGTTTTCACTGAAAGGAAACTGCGGTTTTGTATGGGGAAATTGCATTGTGTGGTGATGGCTGCACGGTACCAGCAGGCAAATGAAAACACTGGATGGCTTTACGGGTGCTTAGGCATGGCTCTTTCCATCAGCAAATCTCAGCAGGCTTTTCAAGAGGATCAGTACAGTCCCCCATGTCACAGACAGGAAAATAGGCATAGAAAGACCAATTTCAGTCACTACACGAGGCAGCAACAAGCAACTGAGAGCCTGTGCAGCTTTCTTCCTCAAACTTATGCGGCCCCTGCTCTGAGCAGCACAAATGCCGAGTCCAGCACAAATGCTCTCCCTGGAGGATCAGCTGAATTGCAGGTCTGCAGGGAAGGGGTCAGGAGGAGGCAGGTTCTGCATCCTTCCCTGGTCCGTCCCTGCCCCATGTCAGAGTCACCGCTTGGTCATCTGCTGCATCAGGTCTTTGGGACGCTGCTGCGAGGCCCCACGTGAGGTTTGCACACTGACATCTTATGGGGGGGTTGCACAATCCTGTCTGCTTGCTCAGCGGTCAGCTCCTGCACCGTGACGCTGCTCTGCACCCTGCTCTTATACAGCCAGGGATGCCTTAATACGGCCAGAGATGGGCACTGGCCAAGTCAGACAGTGCAGACACGGGGAGCGGAGTAGAGAGGTGAGAAGGTCTTTGTCCCTATGGCTGTGAATCAATTCTTTCCCAATTTCTATGTTTGCAAGGAAAAGAGCGAGCCCCACGCTTACTCCCAGTTCCTGTCAAGAGGCCATCTGCATTTCATCTGTACAAAATAGATACCCTAGATGGTTTCAAAAGTTACCCAGCTGCTTCACCAGTGTCACTGCAAGGTCCTTTGCTGTTTTACAGAATCCCTTTAGCTGTCCCCACTCTGTACCTTAAAGTCACAGCTCCTGCCAAACTTCTTTCCAGATCCATGCAACTTTTGCAGCTGTTAAGCTGCTTAGTGCTGCCCTGGACTGCAGCATTCAACCTGCTGCCAGGCTGCAGCTGTGTCTATACGGAGCATCCCAATAGCTCCTTCCCACTCCTAGAGCCTGTTTCCCAGGGAGAATCGCTCCCTCCTCAGTGGCAGGAGGCACAGGGGATCTCAAAACGATTCTGCAGCAGAGAAACACAGAAGCTGGAAGTTATGTTTGGGCAGCTACAGCTCGTGCAAGGAATTAAAGCAGCGGCAGAAGGCAGGCACGCTTCTAGCGTGAGATGGGATGATGCACTACCCTGGTTCGTGGTCTGGCCTCTCTTCTGATCAGTTTTCTGACCTGTACGTTAACATGGGCACAAAGAATTTCATCCTCACCCCATCCTGCCTTGCCAGGGGTCTGGCTCAGCCTACCTGCCTCTTTTTGCCCCTAGAAACAACGCTTTGAATTCCTGAGGCTCTTCACAAGGAAGAAGCTCATCCTGAAGCCCCTCTGCTAAAACTAGAGATCATAAACCAGTCTTGGTCAGAAGCAGAAGCCATCAGCTCTTTGCTTCAGATGCAGCTAACAGCCATGGAGGGAAAGGCTGCTGCAAGAGTGAAAACCTCCATTGCTTCGCTGTCTCTGCTCCCAAGAGAAGGGACCAGAACCAAACAAACAGGTAACAATCCCAATATAAGGCGATAAATCTGTACCAAGAAGCATAAACCAAAGGAAACTGTGGTGCAGGCAGCTGCACACCAGTAAGCAGGTTGTGAGTCTAAGGGCAAGAGACACGCAGGCTGAGCCCAGGCAGGAGGCTTCCTCCATCACACTTCCAAATGACCTTACACATCCCGGGTGGGTTTGACGCTTTTAGGGCAGAATTAAGTCACTTCTAGGCCTTATGCCATATTTTTGAAAAGCAAAAAGTTGGTGACAGAAGTGGGTTTGCCAATTCTGTTCTTTCTTTTCCTATACCTGTGGGTCCTGGGAGAAGCGGGGTGATGCTGTCTGAGCAGACGCTGGCACTGAAGTGCCAAGACCTGGCTGCAAACTCTGCGTGAACCTGCTGCCATTGGCACATCAGTCCTAGGAAAGATGATCCCCAAATCCAGTGATACCAGATACAAATGGTTCCCAGTGCACGGTTTAAAGATGCTGTAATCCAATTCTGTGTCAGCAGACAAGACTGTAGGACTAAGCTCTAGCAACTCCCAACATCAGCTCCATAAAACAGGGCACTTGCTAGCCCTATAGATTTAAATCAGAATAACCAGGGGCTGCCTTTGCCTCCTGCCAGGATCCAGTTACATCCCACTGAGCACTGGGAACAGCATCGGGGAGGGAAGGATCAGGGTTTCATAAACTGGAAGGCGATGGTGTGAAGAACTGCTGCCCGAAGCGAGACAGCTGCTGTCACGTCAATGTGCTCCAGCAGTGGGACTGGTGCCCCATGCTAGACCAAAGGGATGTCTCAGCAGAGGTTTCAGCTGCTGGCCAGGAAGCACTGGGTGAAGACAACCTCTGACCATGAGCAGATCCCTCCAGCGCCGACTGCTCCTGGGTGCCAGCCTCAGGAGTGTGGGACCTTCGCACTCCTGAACTTTTGCATGAAGTTATTTTATGCAACCTACTCCAGAGCAATAACCTCCCTGCAGAGCAGCAACTCTGGCTCTGGAGGGAGCCTGAAATAAATGGGAAGCAAGAGATGCTGCAGCTTTGCAGAGGAAGCAAGTCTGCTTTTGCTGTTAAGAGCAGAGAGGCAAAGGCTGCTCTGTCTGGAACTTTTTTTTAAAGCAGTTGTTCTCAAAAAGAGGAACAAACAAAGCAAAGAAACCTCCCCAGCCACTGCCTGCCCTCCTGCAAAGGCCTTATTTTGGCAAGGCTGACGGTTAGTCTCATTTGCAATGAACGAATTGGCCAGAACCACGTACTTTTGTGTGCATTTCTTTGGTGGATCACCCTCAGTGCTCCTGGGAACCCCCAGACTTGGCCCCAGCCTGAGCAATCCTGGGGGACGCTCGTCCCTGAGCAGCACCGTTCTTCCCTGAGCAGAGACACCACATAGCCTTGCAAAGCGAAGGGCTTCAGCTTGCGGTACCTGCGTCTGAATGGACCCACCAGCCTGCACGGAGGACGGGCTGGACCTGTTTAGAGAGATGGGATGGAGAGAAGGGAACCGTGCCTCGAGGCAGAGCCATTTTGACACGAGAGGAAACGCTGCCCACAGCAACGAGATGGTCATATCAGCAGCTGCAGATTTTCACTCGCTTTGTTGCCATCCACCTACTTCCAGGAAAGCAAGGCAGGCGATGCTAACTACCCCCACAGGAAACCTGCCCTCTGAGCAACGCCTCTCCAGAAGTCTGCAACTGCTCCGGGACCTCTCTGGAGCTGAGAATGTCACCGCGTACCTGTGCTACGTGCACAGCCTGCACGTGGGACGGTCACCACGTCAGCCCACCGCCACTCCTGGGGCTTTGCTGGGAGGGGAGAGCAAGAGCTAGGTCAGAGTAAGCAGGTGCTGCTGCTCCGTGTTTATTCGGGAAAGGAGTTCTTTCCTGGCCTGTCACTCATTACAGCTTAGGAGAGAAGTTGAAAACAGAAGTCCAGCCAAGCAGAACATTTTGTGAGATCGTACCAATTTCATTCAATTGCCGAAGTTAGAAAAAACACCTGGGAGAATTCAAGAGTTTCACTTTACCTAATTCAGCGGGCATTGTAGTATCAAGGTTGTATTCAAAGATTAAACACCAAAGCCATCTCTCTTGTACTTACACATACCACACACAATTACAGGAAAAAAAACCCTTGAAATCTCAAGCAATTTAAAAACCTCTCTGCCCAAGAGCAGACTCTGTCCTGTTCTCCCACAGGTGTTCCAATGGGTTTAATCCCAGTCCACGCTCCCTGGGCCATACAGCTCCCGCAGCCCCACGGCTGCCCTCCCTTCCAGGTATGAAACCTTGTGGGCTCTGGTTTTCCCAACTCCAGCATCATCCCAAACATCACCGATCCAGCATCGTTGCAGGGCTGCCTGCTGAAAGCAAAGGTCTGACCACCGTTTTATTGCGTTTTATAAGATAGGGTTACTTTTGCTTAGAATGTGCATGCCTGCATCTGCAAAAGTTTGGGAAGAAGAGACATGGGACCTCTCACTTGAGCTCCTCAACCACTTCCAACCACACTCAGAGCAGGAAAAGCTGCTGAAGAGTTCAGTCCTCAGGGTTTTAAAAAAGAAGGTGGCAGATGGAGGGAAGAGGTGTGCCTGTGTCCCTACGAGCTGTCAGAGAATCAGCAACAGCTTTTTACAGGAGGAGGGAGAAACAGGACAGCGTAAATGCCTGGGGTCACGGACAGAGCTTAAAAGAAGAGGGAGATTCTTAGAGCAATCCAAGAGGATCTTCAGAGAAAGAGACGGCTTCGTTAGTCCTTTAAACTAAACTCATGCTGAACAAGGGCATTCGCTGTTTTGACAGACAAAAGCCTCGGGAGGCAGCCAGGGCCCGGGGGAGGAAGGGCCCACCGCGGGGTGGCTTTGAAGATGGAAGTCTTGGACAAAGTCACTTCTACAAACACAGCTAAGGAGCACTGGAGACTTCGGCAACTGGAACTTCCCGATAAGTGGATAAGGACGGGGGCGGATTCCTGGCAGGAGCTTTGCTGCTAGAGGTTTGCGGCAAGGGAATACTGAGAGGGAACAGTGCTGCGGTAGAAAAGAGGCACGTTTCACCCTACACCATCTCCAAGGACTGTTTTATTGGTCTCCTGAAAAACAAAACAAACCAAAAGCGAGGGAGGGAGAAGAAACCCAGGTCATGCAGTCAGACCTCTGCATAGCGAGGGTGTCGGTAATGCTGGCATCTAGAAATCCTGTTCATCACTACCTTCATGCACAAACTCTTACTGGGGCCAAGGCAGCTAAGAGAAGTGAATGACCAACTCCATCATGGCATGGATAACACCAGGAACCTCCTCCCATATGGCTTAAAACAAAAGCCTTAGACTCCGAG